GTCACGTCGAAGGACCAGGGGCAACTTGATAGAAGCCTTCAAGATAGTTAAGGGGTTGTCGGGTATAGAACTAAGCATCCTCTTCATTCCTGCACCAGAGTGCGACACTAGAGGTCATAGACTTAAGCCGCAAAGAGAGCACTCCAGGTTGGAGCTGAGGGCCAGCTTCTTCACAAATCGGGTGGTACTCTTGTGGAACAGATTGCCGGAAAATGTNNNGGGATGTGGTTTTCCCGAAGCTGGCAATTTGAGGGACAATAACGGAACAAGGTGAGTCTTTCTTGCATTAATGTATTTCATTTCTACATATCTGGTGGATGAGATACTGCACCTAAATATTCTGCCTTCCAGACAAGCAGAACGAAGCTTTGACGAACAGTGTTGGAAGCCAAGGAGACTAGCTGACAACACAACTATCTGGAGGCAGCGAGCAGTGTTGGAAGTCAAGGATACTAGCTGACAACACAACTATCTGGACGCACGATTGGTCTCGGTCACTACTGTCCTGTGCAAATTGAACTGAACTGAACTTGTTTAAATTTATCAATTTTGTCAACACTGTATTAGGCGTTTTGATGAATTGAGAAATTTCCGCAAAGGCAGCTGCAAATAGTCAGCAAATTTATGTTACATTTCCGTAAATAGGACGATGCTGATCGTTATTGTAGAATGAAAGTATTTTGTATCACAACGATACCATTTTTGCTTTTGTGTTCTGCGGCCGCCAATAATCCGTGGGCTGGCTGCCCTCAAGACAAGGACTCAGATCCTGGTGAGGGAATACTAAAGGTTTTGTAATCGATAGATAGATTGCCCCGATGGATGGTTCAGTTTCGACACCAATTGTTACACGTTCTTCACTCAAACTCCTCTATCTTATGTTGACGCTCGACAGAATTGCGAAGTTGGTGAAAATTGTTTTTCACTATGAATATTTTCCTATTAGAAACATGGTGGATTATTACTTCGAATTGATTCCATTCCTCAGCATGAATTCATCGCGGGAAAATTGGAGGGGTTCGCAGTTACGAGAGCGTGGGTTTGTTACATCATAATTATCGATGTTTCTTAGAATGCGGTGGTACACAGCTGGAGTGATGCGTCCGGATTCTTTTGGGGAATTTATGTGGGAGGGACATCCTCTGAGATACCAGCAAGTAAATACAGAGTTGATGTCCCTCTGGATTGACCAAGTACCCAAACCTCAAGATCGTCCAAACTTCCCAGCGAATAGAACGAGAATTGTTTATGGTTCTGATGGTAACCGATGGGGTTGGTATTTAGACACAGCAACTCCACAAAGAAATTACGTATGTCAAGCTCCAAAGGCTGTTGCCAATCAGTTGTTGCCTACTGCCATGTCACTAACTTACGGGACTCCTGTGACATCGGAACCTTTGAGGGGTCCATGTTTCTTATCAAATCCACAAGATGTATTGTAAGCCATTGAAGCTTAAATTCACAAGTTTTTTCACAGGTATGTCCGCAAGCTGAGCTTGGAGAAGTACGCTGAGCTTAAATGCGAAGCTAATGGAAATCCGCAACCTACTTACAATTGGTATACTGTGAGTATAGAGAGCCAGACTGATAGTTCGGGACGCACAACTACCTGGATTAACCGTACTCTTATAAATCCTACTGAAGATCCACAAGGAAGAATATCAATTAGTGCAGGATCCTTGGTGATTCACGCACCAGATAGTGCAACAGATTCTCAACTGTTTCAGTGTGAAGCCAAAAACAGCCAAGGAAGTATTCTCAGTCGCACGGTACGGATTGTCTTCGGGCAGCTGGAAACACCGCAGAAACAACCTAGAAATGAGCGGAAAGTTTTGTCCCATAAGAGTGAAACGCTGCCTTGCGATCCTCCCGCACATTCCCCACCAGATAGTAAGTTGGTCAAAAAGCTGATTTTGTAATAGCCATTACCTTACATGTATGTATATTTATCAGGAAAATGCAAAGGTGCTAAGTGTTTCCATTAAAACGCCCTTGGATCATGGACGCAGTATATTTTGGACAAAGAACACAACACAACACAACAAACGATTACGGTTTAATTTTAAAATCGTTCTACTTCCTTTTAACTAGTGAATATTACAGAATAAAACATAGTTTATATACCACAGGTGTGAACAATGTACCAGTTCCCTTTTAGGCTTACGTAGTTACCAGGGTAATGCCCGAGTGATGCAGATCTACTTTTATTGACACAGCAAGGGCTTTTGACGCTTGATTGCTATGGCCTTTGTGAATCTTAGCAACCGACCATTTCAGGTTATGTAAACAACCCGAAAAGAAGCCCCGCACTCGACTTGTTAACCAATCTGCAGTAGAAGGAGAGCATTTGACGACGTAGTTATTTTATGCGGCTAGCTAAATGGACTGTATTTTGTGTCGACCATAATCTAATCCGTTCGTGTTTGACGTATTCGGGTATGTTTTTACCCCTCGGCTACACAGCTTTCTCTGGATTCTTCCTACGTAGGTGACTCCGCAATTTCTCGGATAGAGGGATAGGTAATTTCATCAAGGTCTTCGGACTCTGGGTTCTGGTGAAGCGAACGACCGGATTTGTAACAATATATGTACAGGCTACATGCAAAACCAGCCGCCTTCGTACAAGGTTGCCTACGTTATTGTCTTTAAACAGTAATTAAATGAGAACTTTGCAAGTTGATGTTGTCATCCCAGAAGTATTGGGTTTGGATTTTACACTGTACATTTATATAAGCCTCATTGAGTTATCATTGAGCTTTAGAGCTTTCTTTAGCCAAACTAGGTCACTTTCCATATTATCTGGAATACACAGCCTTGCAGCTCGATCAAACAAGGCAAACGGGAGATCTCATTTGTATTCGGCTAGAGCAACACTTCCAAGTCACATATAATGGCCGGTTCGCGTGGACTTTTTATGCACTAATCTCGGGTCTAAAACCAATAACGATATCTAGAAGTGATATTGTGTTGTTTTGCTAAGTTTTTGTAGTAAACTGGATGCCTTGTGAAGCAAATTTAATTAAGCTAACAATTCTTTGGTCTCCTTGGTGCTTCGGGTGATTATTAACGTGTCATTGACACTATTGTTGTAGAGCGCAAATCTATTCAATGTCTTACTGGTTTTGTTCTTCAGTCTAGACGTGAATATGTCAGCTCACTTTCTCATCGTATTCGGTCATAATCATAGCAGTGGCACCCAATTCTTTATCAGGTGGAAGTGCGACCAACTCCGTATTTAAGTTGAGACTGTTTAAGGTATTTTGTCAAAATGGACTGTTGTCGCGATGAAATTATTGACCACTGTTGTTCAAGATCAACCAGTTTTACATTCAGCTAACAGACCGAATCATGCAATCGTGAGATTAACTGTTTTAGTTGGTCAAAAAATAATTAAAACTGCGTACGCGACTTTATTGAGTTAACATTTTGCCGGAGAAAACGAAACCACAGTGCATTAGTTTGGAGACTGTTCAGTTGGATGGACGATTAACTCCTCAAAACTTTCCCCATGCTTTCCGGAAGCATGAGTTCAGGTTTTACGTGTTTGATAGGCTTTTAAAATTTTGTTTCCAAATTTAACCGCATTTCCCAAATCAGATTGACACAAAAATAGTGTATTTTATTTGGAAAACTAAATTGAGCATGAAGATAGTTCTGACAGGCGTTTTGTAAGTTCTGGTTCGAATCATCAATAAGGAAGTTTGCCGATCTCTTCAGGTTCCGGGCTTACAGATATTAGAAGAATAAAACAGGATATTTGTTAAATCAAACATACTTAGATAAAACAGGGATTTCTACAGTATTCTTGAGGACTTTGCAACGCAGCTTGAGTAAGTCATCCAAGCGCTCAAGCAGAGACTTAGGGATGTGCAGTTTGAGAAAACTAAGACAATTGTTTCTTGAATAAACTTGAAAAAAGAATACAAGTGAGCTCGATTTAATTTCGGAATCATTTCTATGCATCTCAGCTGGTTGATTTTGAAACAAATATATACAAAGGGAAATCAAAGTAACTATATGCCTATATGTTTTAAGTCACGTGCGAATGTTTCTGCATTAAAAGTTTTCGCTATTTATGGCATCCAAAACATTGATACAAGCTCCATCAAGTCTGGTTGTCTGAAATATTCTCGTCATATATTTTTCATAAATTTACGGATTTTGTACTTTCCTCATATCATTTGTTTGAAATTACTGATAGCAAATGTGTTATAGAAGTTAATTTTACGGTAAATCAATTTTTACACAGCCACTAATGTAAAAGGTGCGAAATAGACCAATTTATAAGGAAAAGCGGTAAAAAGTAATACCAATCATATGCATGTAGGAATAAAATGTACTAACTTTAGTGGTCATACATTTTTAAAACAACGCAGCGTTTATTCACTTGCTCGCGTATTCCAAATGTTTACCGCCGAACATGTTACGGGTGACTTTTGGATAGACAACTCTTTCAGAGCCAGTCCATTGAAGAGTCAAAGCTATGGTTCAATGTTTTTTAGACGGGTTAGGTGCACCCCAAGTATATAAATGAACTGAAAAAAGATTATTGGCTACGTCTGACGAGCAGAAAGAACCACGAAACCGGTCGTGTGCTTCCGGGGAAATTTTGTCTAGTCATCTGCATACTACTTATTATGAAATATATATTTCATTGAATTTAGAAATGAAATAACATGTCATTTCTTCAGTCACTAAAAATTACATTTGATAACTTAATGGTCTTCAGAACTGCTCATTTATAAAGTTTAAATGTAAACACTCAAATTTTTATTATTAAAGTAAAATGAGTAGTTAATTGAACTATCAAAATATTACATTTATATAGATACGTACGTATTTCTGGTTTGAAAAATGTGAAATAATAATTCCGCTAAACTTAGTACTGTATCGCTATGCGCAGCTACATTCACTAGCACATATCCGCAACACGAGAGTTCAAAAGTAAAACATCTTTGACCTTGTGTATCTCATTCAGAGAATAAAAAGGTATTTGCTTAAAAATCCTCGAATGGGAAAACCATTTAAAAGATCTTTTAAAACCAGAACGTTTCATTCGATTTTAGGTTTGATTACATGGCTCGAACCCTAAATTTGAAAGAAAAACAGGGGGAATAGTAAAGTTACATGTAACAACTTTTTCATTGCTTTTAACATAAACTCATATTTGAATTTCAGGTCTTCTGTACACAATTTACATGAATAAAGGAGGAACATTGGAGCCAGTCATTCCGGACTACCGTCCGAATCTGTTCATTTCCCAAGCAAAAGGCCTTGTTGGCTTTTCAGAGCTAACAACTCTGGTGAGTCTTTGAGAATCGTAATTGGGTAACGAATTGTCTTTACAAGACCGTTGTTCAAATATGAAATATTCTCACCAATATACCATTTCTGGCTATATGTTAGATCAAATTTCGGACAGTTTGTTAAGATATATTCGCATTTAACAAGTATGAAATCACAAGCTTTTCTTCGGCTTGTTTCACAATTGAGTACGATGAACAACTAACATAGTCAAGTGATCAGTGTTAGATCATAAACGTCATCCAGTTAATCAAACTCACATGCTTTTGTCGTTAAACGCTTAACGAACACTTCCCCCAGAAACGGTACATAGTTTCCTTGGTAAGCACCTTAGGAAAAAATACTGCAATAAAAATGTTAAAGTACTTTTGGTAACAATAAATTTTAGGCTTTCTAATCCCAGTTATTCGTTGTTGTGTCCTAACTTGAAGGAGGCAAACGCTATAAGTGTTTCAGGATTGTTTCGATCATCAATTTTTTTCAGTGTCAAATTGAAGTCAACTTTATTAAAATCTATTGTATTTCGTTCACTTCAGTTTCAACTCAGCTATTCTTCACGTGTTAGGATGTGTATCCTACAGAGTGAAAGTTTTGGGAAAACTACTAAATAACTTGCATTAACGTAAATGCTTTGATCTATTATCTAGCATCACAACCGATGCTTTGCATCTGTTCGTTACTGAAAGCGTCCCATATGCTTTAGTGTACGTCATGAAGCATATATTGAATTCCTATAAAAACGTTCTTATTCCTGCGTCTACTTGTGAGTAGTCAAATGTTTTTACCTTTTATTTATTCATATACTTACTGGAGCGGAAAACCAATACACTGAAACAGCCTTGATGTAATTACATTCATGCGATAATCACAATCTTTTCCGTTTCATCAACTTCTTGTATCACACTCAACATTATTTTTTATACGCAACAGGATACGGGAGTGTACGTCTGCATGATCACCATGCAGTTCAATGGAGTTCGTCTGTTTGATTCCCCCAAACTGCCGGATATGCCCTTCACCGTGATGTATAGCAATGAACCCAGACAAGAGCCACGAATCTACGACGATTTTCCCGCGGTTTGGCCGAGTAATCCTCAACGTGGGCAACTTGTCCGGTTAGAGTGTTTCGCTTCAGGTTATTCTCAAGTTGAAGGTCTTCGGTACACATGGCGCAGGGTAAGTTCTTGTAGAACAAATGCGATGGTCACAAATAATCCTAGACTCGATAGCCGTTCCAATCTTTACGTCAGGTGGATCAAATGGAAATCGATAAGTTCAAATACCCATAGAAGACTCTTACTTTGAATTGAGTTGATTATATGTTTGCATAGATATCTATCGATTATCTAGCGTTTTAACGACCAAACGAAAATCATACTTTTATTACACACAAAGTGATGTACAGCAAAAGAGATAATCCCCATGGTCGACGACATACTGTGTGGGGGATGGTATGTGCGGGGAACATTCAGGTGCAAAATGAAGACTGAAAGACAGAAGTGCAAAATCTGGGGACAGAAACTTGATATGGGTATCTGCCTGACTCGGAATGAGATGAACGAGAAAAGATCAAGGAGAAAGGAAACCGCCGAATGGAGTTCAGATGAGCAGAAACCAAGATAACAATCATAGAAGAGAGGTAACGAAGCAAATGCGCGTTGATGGGAAAACGAACGCAGTTTGGAAGTTAAAGACACTTCGACGATCAGCCGGATGGCCTTATGGGGAAAGAGAAAGTGTGGAATACAAAGCTCCAATACGTGACTGCAGTATTCGAGCATCGGATTTGAGCTTGGTATAAAAGGAAAAGATGCTTGGGTATAAAGAAGCTCTAAGCACGGAATAGAAACTGACTTTGTGCGCAGCGCGAGAGGCGAAGGTAAAAATAAATGGAAACTAACGGAATGAAGAATTTATGGATAAACCCAAGAGGGACAGAGAATATGTGGAACGAAGGGACAGTGATTCAACCTTTCATTGACAAGAGTAAGAGATGTTTAAGAGAGACGAAGAGGAGAAATTTTTGAAAGCGTTGAAACCCACATGGTTTATTGAACCTTGTGCGGGGATGAGTCCGAGATCGGAGGCGAAAGAAGCACTGATGAAATAGCGATTGTGATCGATATTGGTAGTGGCCTGGTGGCCTGGCGGGCTAAGAAAGAGAACAATGGAGAATGGAGCAATGAATAGGCTTAGTGGTTCTGGACAAAATATAGTGAGCGGAAGTATGAAACCTTGAGGAGTACCAACATTCACTGGGGTGGCCGAGATAGGACCCCGTTGACTCAGAAGGAGATGGTTCGCTTGTTGAGCCATAGTTAGAAAAACGGGTGGAATTCGAACGTGGGTAATTTTGACGGTAGGCTTTTGTGCCCAAAGCGGTTGAAAGCCTTTGAAATACCGAGCTGGACCATGTAAGCTCTTCCTTGCTTATCGAGTGCAGTTGACCAGGAATGGGATGTAAAAGCCAGGAGGTCACCGGTAGAACTACGAGAGCGAAATCTATATTGACGGTCATTCAAAAATCCGCTTTCTAGAAACGTATACAGCTAGTCGTAGGTAATGGTTTGAAACAGAAGCGAGCGTAATGGTACGATATTTGTTGGGGCTGGAAGGGTCACCATCCTTTGGAATAGGAAATCGATAATAATCTTCCATGGAGTGGAGAAGGACTTTAGAACAAGTGAAGAACAGAAAAGACGGCAGAAAACATGGCTTGACCCTGGAGCACACATTTTTTGAACCGCAACCATCCGGAATGGGTGTTTTACAAACATTCAAACCACCAAGAGTTCGGTGGACAGGTTGTTATGACAGGTGGAAGGAATGACCAGATACATGAAAAGATAGTTAGGGAGGAGAGTCGATATACGCGGTGGAATTGGAGGCAAACTGGGAAGCGAAGACCTATTCTTTTTCGTGGGGGTACATAAACACGAGTACCGGAGGAATCGCAAATGGGAGGAAAGTTGGAGGGGCAGTAATTGCGTAAAGCCGCTTTAGCGAAGAACCGGAATGTTCAGTTAACAGTGACAGACGAAGTCAAGTGCCCAACTTTGTGAAAAATGAGGCTTTCTCGAGCTCCCTGTACGGCTCGCGGGGTGTTGGTTTGGGTTTGTGGCGCCAACGACGGAAGGCTGAGTTTTAAAACGCACAGCACAGTTACAGAAATGATCAAACCGTTCAAGAGGTCGTGGGTTGCTGCGATTTGAAAGATGTGGAATATAATGGTACATACCTTGAAGAACAATTTCTGTGAATTTTGAAACTGACGTGGAGACATCGGAGTTAAGACACCAATCCGTCGAAGAATAACAGGCCAGCAAGACACCAAAACACATCCTAGTTGGCTAAGTTGTAACACCAAAAGGTGCGTTGGGAGTTGAGTGGTGAAACAGGGTGAGACAAATGAGTGAGAAAGTTAACGAGCCAATGGTCCGATGAGCCTAAAGAGGAAAGGGAAGTAATGTTGGATAAAGAAGAGAAAATAGATGCAAGAATGAGGTCAAGGGTGTGGTCATGGGCACCAATGCTATCAGGAATGCGTGTGGGAGGTCAACTAGCTACTCAGGGCGTAAACCGCAGCAAAAGTCTCAGCCTCGCTTCCTATGAACGAAGTGTCTGAAGAGTGCTTCAGCCATTCCTCGTTGTGTTCATCGAGTGCCCCGAAAATGGTAATTGGAAAAGTAAGATCTACTGCCATCAGTGTCTCAATGTTGGAAGATAGAAGATCAAAAATCGGAGGATCACTACNCCGGGAGAGGCAAATTATACAAAATGGTGGCTGAAAGAAGGGAACCAAAGTTTCAGTCAAATAAACTGGAATTCGCGGATGGAGAAATCGAGGGGCGACAGAATGATCGGTATGGGTGCAGACAACAGCTTTAAGAATAAAAGAATGACAGAGGAAGCGATTAGGGAACTGTAGATGAATAGGGCCTGACGACGGACCGATTTTTGTCTCGGTCAAAATAAAGCCCAAGGGGGGGGGGAGATTGGAGAAAAGGGTGTGCAGAATTAACATTTGGATTTAAACTGCGAGTGTTAGTGAGGGCTATAGAGTGCTGTGAGTTTGTAAGTAAAACGCGCATTATGTGATTCATGTGAACTATATTCTCCATTTGTGGTGTGAGAGACCGGCAACCCCACTGAGAGACTTAGAGTGGTGAGTCACAAAACACATCATTCATATGTAGACCGTGGTAGTGAACTGGACCACCTATTATCCATGTGGGTGTAGGAGAGCTGATTTGGCGTAATGTGTGATTTCTTTGTCTGTTTTATTTTACTATAAAGTGACTGGCATCGACTTAACGATCATATCCTATTGCTGAGTTTTCGAAACTGGAGTCAGGATGAAAACAAATGGGCATGAACGATTTTTACCAGACTATGAGATATTTAAGACACTGGATACATCCGGTTCATTTCCAGCCTAGATAGATTTTGCTCTGAAATTCCTAGTAAAAGTAGAATTAGTTTGACGTCAAGTACAAACGAACAAAATGATGAAAGACACTGGCCCCAAGACGCTGGAGTTTTGTTTTATAACATAGCATTGTGTAATGATTATATTGAAAGCAGTAAACCCCATGATTTGTGAGAACTGACCGATCTCTCATCATAATCATTATTGAGAGTCCTGAGGTTTGGATTGGCGAACCAATAAGGCAGGTGTGCTATTGAACTCAAGGCGAATGAAGCTGTTTTTACCATCCGTTCTTATCAGAGCTTTCCCTCACCTTCACGTGTCCAATACAGTGCGGTGAGAAACCCTGCTGATTGAAGCGTTTCAGTGTCAAGCTATCTAGGTCATTTACAACGAGCTGTCCCCCAGTGGTGTGAAATCCTGGAACCAATGTATGCACGCATGAAGATCTAACGGCAACTTTCTCGACAGGCTAAGTGTTTCCGTATAAGGAGAAATAAAGAACTTTTGTGTTAGGGTAATAGCACAAAGATATCACAAAAAAACCATCTGCTAATCAAGTGACATGAGAAGATTGAAACCATTCTTTTCCCCATCAAACAGACCTCCCTGTTGGACAACATTTTTCATAAATGTCGAAACCAATCATGTTCCCCGATTGAGCAATAACATTCTCGGAATGTGCGCCAAAACACCTATCTGTTTTTAGTCTTTCAGCCATTTTTTGTACATTGCAACTGTGCGGGGAAATTTTGTTTGAAATTAGAGAATTCCAAATAATGATCCATGCTCCACCTCCCGCCATTCTCACAATCTCTTTTCCATACGACTTTACTGCCATTGATTCACAGATGGATGGCCTTCCGTTAAGGTCGAACAGTTTGAAAGATTTCAACCGGGTTATTGAACTGCCAAACATACAACCTGAAGACCAAGGAGAATATGAGTGTAGTGTGAGTTGCGTCACCTCATCTTTGTTCCGATTGCACAATAACCCGTATCCGAGTCAGTCATTCTAATTATTTTGTTTAATCCTAATCAAATTAATCTTATTCGGTCTGGGGGGGGGGGGGGTGATTCACACAAGCACACAAGCACACATACATTGTCATGGTGTCAGATGCACTAAAAAATCTTAGAAGCCTTGAACAGCAGTTTCAGCTCTTTTGACATTCAAGTCAAGTCAAACCATGAATTGCTTTGTTCATGTCAATGAGTGAATTCTCACCTGAAGTTACGCATCACCGCAGTCGAGCATTCACAGAGAACAAGTCAAGTGGAGCGTCATAAATTTACGAGCGAGATAAAGAGGGGGTAGTGATAGCATACAAATGTGGAAAGTTGTTTCTGACGGATGTCTTCTTTGTCGAGAAATCTCAGAATATATGGTATAACAGACAAGCGACAGACCGTGGTCCCAGTATACAGACTTTTATAATGACACCCATTTAAGGAAGTGGATACACACTGTTTAAGATCCGAAGGTCACCAGTGAGTGCTCTTTGATAGAGTATTGTTTCGAAGGTTTTCGCAAGAGGTAAAATGATTGTCAGCGATGAACCTGAGCTATTGTGCGTGAAATAATTTTAACAGATCGAGGTAGAATTGTATAGTCTTCAACTTCAAGACCAGCAAATTAAACTGGGGTACAGTAATGAAGGTGATGGACAACGCGTGAATCTATAGCTCGGGTAAGTGAATACAATGTAGTTTTAGACATTGCAGTCGGGAAATAAAGAAACAAAATCGTCGAATCTTTTCAGCAGTGCCGTTGAAATGAGAAAATCACGTGAAATCTTGGCAGATAGTAACATCAAGGTATTTTGAAGAACGTACCGGGAAGACTCCGGTTGCTAACATAGAGTACAGAGCAATTTCTTTCAAACAAACATAACCGTTCTCCTTTGGCTAGTGAGAAGATGAAATCCCTGCGAATAAGGACTTTAGTAGGTAATATGGAATACGAAGATCATAAGCTTGAGGCAGGGAAATTTGTTTGAGGCTGTGAGAAGCGGAAATCATCTTGGAATTTGGAACCTATGGTGACATAATCAGCACACTTGATGAGAAGATTATCCGGGCCAGTCAGTAGGTCTCAAATATAGAAAAAGAAAAGAAGACAGTATTGCTCCCTGAAGCAACCCTCGGTTGACCGGGAGCGTGTCAGATGTTTTTTCAAGAATCTTCGTGAAGTGTTCCACTAGTAAAATAATCGTGGAGTGAAGACAGATTACTAATAACCAAACCAGCATAATGGAGTAGAGGCAAAAGTTTCTCCCTTTCGACACAACTAAATGTCTTACTGTAGTCGAGGAACCACACACGAAATGCTGTACCATACCTGTCTGGGGACTACAAAACTTAATTTATCAAGTGCGCCAGAACGTCTTGGGTAGAATGATGTTTGCGATAAACGCATCGTTGGTGATCTGAATGCCCAGGATCAGAAGTAATGTTTTTATTATTTTAAAAAATCTTTTGTAATACGTCAGTGCAGATGACTGGTCAAAATTTTCCGGTGTCCTTGTTTGGGACTGGTGTGATGAACGTGCGGGTCTCAAACAGTTGGTAATTTTCAAATTCTTGTTTGGCAGATTTTAAGTATATATGTCGATTGTGAAAAGTTCAGCAGCCTCGGTGGGATTCGAACCCACGCATGGATGTCTCGTATGCTTTGTACGCGTACACCCTATCAGTTGAGTTACGAGACCACACCGCTAGCACTGATCTTTTCACTTTCGAATTTACCCATCCAACTTACAGAGGCATATGGCATCCATCAGTTAGCATGTAAGCTGACTGCCCCGACAGGTTTTCCTTAGAATTCACCGGAGTCCACCGAAAGAGCTTTTAAGACAAGATTAATTGTTCAAATTGTTGTTTGGCAGATTTGAAGTCGACAATTTGTTGCTCCGTGAAGCAACGGTTAAAAAAACTGATACGTGGCTTAGCCAGATAATACACACATTCCTTGAGTACGACTGGATACAGTCCGGCCTGAATACCGATTTGAATTTTATTTTTCAGAGGAAAAAGAAAATATTTTTATCGGTAAAGTTTTGATCTTTCAGTTTGGACGAGATGTGTTCATATATGTGTGGTCTTGTATTCACAAACAGGTAGAAGATTCATATGGGAAAAAGGCGAAACCGAAATCCCTGAAATTACGTATAACCGCAAAACCGTATTTCACCACACCGATTTTGGACACTGTGGTGGATTACGGATCCACAGTGACCATGACTTGTGAAGCCTCGGCCATTCCGTCCCCACAGCATCAGTGGTTCCGAAATGGGGTTGCACTGAGTGACTTGATTGCGCAACAAGTGGTGGATCCAACGCGATATACGATCAATGAAACTTCCGATACTCGGTCTACCGTGCAAATCACAAATGTAAGTGTCCCCAGTTGTGTGTGTGTGTGTGTGCGCGTATATGAGGAGAGGGCCACGAAGCAGATAACCGAGATTGAAGCACGAACTACTGGATTCCTACTAATCACACATAGAAGAGGCTTTGATGACTGCTCATCTAACGCGTTACTGTAATCACAGACACGGTAAGCTCTACTGGACATTGTTTCACAAACGTTTCGGTGAGTTCCTTATCAAGCCAGTACAATCATATTTATGTGAGAAAATAAAGGGAAAGTGTTGTGTTGGTGTCAAACAGTTGAGGTGAAATAATTGCAGCAAAGGGGTGGGGTAAGGACACATTTGTCACTCGTTCTCATGTTCACATAAGAACGGGTTACGTAAGCGTTGATAATTGATTTCAGTTATCGCAACGCTCATGCGTGATGTTGTCCGCTTTGGGCCAGGGCAGTTTAAGTGCCTGAACAAGTATTTTTTGAGCACACAATTCTGCCTTCAACAAGCGGATGATAATTGCCTCGGCTG